TCCTGCAGATCTTCAGTACTATGGTTCTGCATTTTTTGGCGGGCATTGCCAAATTGCAGTTCATCTGAGACTGCATATTATTCAATAAACAAAACTTACTCTAACACCTTGTAAACATGCTTTAATGTTAGCTATTGATAAAGATGACGCACCTAATTTTCTATAGAATATCATTCAAAAACATTTCAAAAAGCCTATTTGTTTATGCAAATACTAAGTGTTCGAATTTGAAATTTTTTTCTCGATAAAGGTCATTTAACATGACTGAAAACGTTAGAACTTAATAAATTTGGCTGCATGTTTACAAGAGTAAGTTTTGTTTATTGAATAATATGCAGTCTCGGATGAATTTGCTGTTTATATGTATTATTTTAGATAATGTATATGTTTAAATTTTTTCATTTAAAATATTGAAAACTTTTCATGTTTTTCACGTTAAACTTCAATGATATAATTTTCAATTAAACTTTCTTTTACAAAAATGAACAGATTTTTGTTTGCTAATAAGCGAAAAAGAAAACAGCTTACAAAACAATGTAAAATTTTTCTGCACTCAAATGCAGTAATTACACTAAAACCTGCAAAAGCTGGAACCTGACTAAGGCAAAACCCTTCTACAAGTGGAAAGTTTAAATATTTTTAAGTAAAATGATTACATTAACTTAACGAATGTTCTCTGAAAGCCAGAATAAGATGAAATAGTAGAAATCATATTAATTCAATCAAAATATAAGGAAGTACAGATGCAGAAGCCAAAAATTTGTTTTATAATTCTGCATTGGCACAGTGCATCTATCAGGAAACAAATTATTTTTTGTTAGAGGAAGTTTCAAAGCATGCTGAAGGGTTCTATTTTCTATTGCATTGTTATTTTAGATTTCTTTTTGTGCTTGTGATTTTTTTCCTACAGAAATTGGTGATATAAACCTTCATAAAACTGTGGACTTGCAAACTAAAGACGACAACAATGAAAATGAAAATGATGACCAACTAATAAAAAAGCCAGCCTTTGCTCAGGCATTTCTATTAGTTGGTCATCATCTAAATTAGACACAGGTTTTCAGTTACATAAAGGCTTTGAAGGAATTTGGCAAAGCTAAAGATCAAGAATTTTTTATAAGGCTGCAGACTTACAAATTCATTTGAATCATTTCATTAAAAAACCAAAAATGACTAAGCAAGCAATGTTAGATTGTTTTATTAAAAAGTGAACTTTGCCCACTTATTTGTATGTAAAGTCTTTGTAATATATGCAGACATCTGCAATAAATGCAACTTGAATAAACACATGTAAATTGTAAAAAACTTATTTTTTCATCCATTTCATAAAGGGAAAAGAATTTTTAGGGCATTTGTATAGGCAATAGAGAACAGTAGAAAAGTGGTAAGACTATATATCCTGTCAATGGCAGAAAACCTGCAAGACACAGAAAAAGCAGATAGTCTCATCAAGTTTTGGCTTCTGCAGGTTTTGCTGTATTATGAAGACTAATAAATCTGAATTTTCATTCATAAGAAGAAATGATGTTTGCAGTCAGATAAAGGATGATATGCCTACACATTATAAATCATAAAATTATTTTAATATTGGAGCACTGGATAGAGAGCATTTCATGGAATGTCTCTTGGTGGTAATTACTTGTCAATAACACCTGTTCCTTTCTTAAATTCATCCTTAGTGATTACACATGCACACTAGTCAAAAAGGGTTCATCAATGAAGTGTCCTGACTTAGTTCATTCTTTAATCATTTTTTGGTAAGATTTTTTTTGATTTATTGATGATACCCTGGAGATTTAACCCTATTGGCACAGCATTTGAAGCTAGATAACATACCAGTACTTTTAGTCTCACCAGGTCCTCAATCATCTGATGAGACTCAATTGTATTTGCAACTTGAATTACAATAATTCAACAATATCATATCTTTGTTCCTTTCTGACACCAGTGTGTCAAGATTTTATGTTGGATCCTTAAGAATTTTATGAATGACACAAATAAACTAATATATATGAAATCTAATATGGAAATTGGTGGAGATTTTAAATGTAAAGTATTATCCATTGATGATAATTATAAAGAAAGAACAACTGTGATAGTGATGTGTTTTGGTAATTGTGAATGGATGTTCAGAAGACTTCAAAAAATTCTAATTTTGTATTTAATGTGCTATTTCATTTTAAGTAAATATTAAAATGTTTTTATTTCTGCTTTAAAATTTTTTGAACTTTGTACTTCTTTCTATTCTAAGCAAAGTAAAAGATAGTTTCCTTGAAGAGCACATTTTTATTGTATGAAAATTGAATCTATAACAATTTGATAGTTTTCTCAGATGAATATTATTCTATCTGAGCAATCAGCATTTATTTTGATAACAATGAAATTAATTAAATGTAAAGATTTAAAATTAGTAACAAATTAATCATTGTATGATTCAATTACTAATAATGCTTATTTGGTGAAAATTTATTAAGTTTGGTTCATACTGTGTTTCTTCAACACAGTAAATTCATGTGCTTGGTTGTATAGCCACAGTCTAGTTTTGCAATGCAGGAAGGGTGTTACAATCCAGTAGCCAATTTGCACCATTATAGCAATCAATGAGACACTTATGCTGGACAAACAAAATCAAGTCAATCATCAATGAACCAGAAACTTCATTGAGAAGAAGAACTTTTAAATTATATGTGGGTTGCAAGGAGATATCAATAGCAATGTTTGGAAACATACAGCAAAAGCAATAAAATTAATGGTGAATAATTTCAGTCTAATTTTTTTTTTTTTTGCATTTCCTTCGTCACTAGCTGTTCTATTCACTGTAGTCAACCATTTTATAATAGCAATGTAAGTAGCTAAATATATAGCTGTCTAGTAATATGCTGTATGGAATTTGATATGCTGACAAATATGTATAATGCAAACCAGTCTTTAGTCTATGAAAAGTGTCTTTAGCCTTTAGAAAAAAGCATTGCAAATGAATACAAAATGTATCATGAAAATATCAGTATATGAGCATTGGAAAACTTATAGATAATTAAACAAACAAGAAACTTAGATTAAATTTTAACTTGGTGGTGATAATGCAGAAATTGATGGCTAAATAAATTTTGTTATCAGAAATTGCTAGAGTTGTTATCATATTACAATAAATATAATAATTAGATCATTTTTTAGATTAGAATAACAAATAATTTAGAAATACTTAGACAAAGATAAGCTTAGTTTAGAATTTAAATTTGCAATTTCAACAAAATCAATTTAACTGTCCAATTATTCCTGTATTAATCTTCTAGGTGAATATCAAATTAATATATGATGATACAGGCTATATTCTATTACATTTTTATTCCTTGCCCTCTGGGCACTAAGACAGTCTTTTTATCAGGTCCATTATGGGTTTGGCCAGGTCCACAATGGGGTAGCCAGATAGTGAGGGATGCAGCCCAATATATTTAGATGGATGCACTGAAAAATTCCTGGTGTTTTGACCCATCTGGGTTTAATCTTGGGCCCCCAGAGCAGTAAGCTGCCATCTTAATCACTTGGCCATCCAGCCATGAAATTGATAGAATATATTTATTTTTTACAATTAAAGTAGAAATGTCATGTGCATGATGAGATTTCCTCCCTCAATAGAACTTGAATACATTTAATAAAATAAAAACAAAACTATAGGCTTTTTATTTTGTCATTATTTAATCAACATTGAAGATATTAGACATTTGAATTTATTTTCATTATGTTAGAAAAAATCCTTTATGAATATATATTAGAACCAAATTGATGTTTAGGTGATTTGGGTGATTTAGATTTGAAGATGTGAAATTATTTGGGTAAAGCTCAATTTACCTTGGATGCAAAGGGCATGAAAGTGAAGAAAGCAAACAGATCAAATGAAGTGAGTGAAGTGAATTTCATTCATATTGCAAGCAGTGGTAAGCATGATAGTGAGTTTTAGTTTCACACTTTTACCAATAGATGACATTTCAAAAAATTTGATATATGTATATTGCAATTACCATATTAACATTCTTCTTTTTGTTTACTGTGTTGTATAGGCTTATCAAAATTAAATTATATACCATTTAAAAAACTGAGTTAATACTGAATAAAATCTTATTTTTATGTATTAAAATGATATTTTATAGTTTGAAAAACACTTATCTTTTATTAAACTTATTTTTGTTAGCAAATGAAATAGATTTTATCTATCCAACAAATAGATAAAAAAAAAAAGAAAATAACATTATTTTTTGAACATATGGTAAATAAAATTATTGTAAATAACTTTATATATGACAATGATTTTATTTTGTGATGTACATGTTGTAAATTATTAGTATGTAAGAATTTAGACTATCTCTACTGGTCTTTGACATGCTTAGTAAATACAGGATCTTTCAAAATGAATTGTACCATTTTAAATTACTATAATTATGTTAATTATTATCCAAGAAGTATGTGATGTACACCAATTGATAGAGTAACTGCCCAAGTTTCATTTCCCATCTGCATATAAACATCTTGTTATACTACCTGTAGGAAGCACTGTAAACAAAAATGGCAACTCCACAATACAGAAGGCATTTGTGTTCTGCAGTATGCAAAGTCAGAATCACTCATCATTGTGCAATATGAGTAATCTGCAAGAGCTTTGTCTGCTAAGGGAGGAGTGACAATGGATATGCTGTAGCAAGTATAGGAAGAATTTGAGTATTGGTTAGGTGACATGAAGCACACACATTGAGAAACTATAATGGACAAATGTGAAACTTAGTGTGAGGGACGAACAGACCCACAATAAAGTGTTATTGTAAATTTTAAGATTTGGAAAATATAATCGGTTAAATTCGAACGTTTTATCGAGTTAGGCTAAAAGCCATAAAATTTATTTCCCACGGAGTTTGTTCCTTGTTGAGTCGAATCAAGTTAGTCAGGGATGTGTCACCAGGAACTTTTGATGGAGAATCCANATTTACTAAAAAATATTTGAATGATAGATTTGGATGGCTGTAAGTGGAGGACAAGAGCTTAAAGATCAAACTCCAGATTTATATTCTTCATTACTTTCAGGCCCAAAAATTTCAGAACTTATTGATACTATTGAATTAGGTAAGATTATCTTAAAACTTATCATTTAAAAAAGTGACAGTATTTTATAAATATATTAAAGGTTTTTATGAAATACAGGTAATTCCCGTATAATATGGCATTTCTATAGCATGGATTCACTCTAACATGGTTTGCGAATTGAGTAAAACCCTCATACAACATGAAATGTAATAAAAACTATTAAAAGCAAACTTTATCAAATTTGAAATCAGGAAAATCCCCATACAACAGTTCAATAAACATGATAAGACTTTTAAGTGCAAAAGATACCTCATTTGACATTTTTCATTTGAGCGCGTACGTACTATCAGATTTTCCTGCATAATTTTTGTGAACTATTAGTACTTAAGTATGTAAATTTTCTTTTCTTTCCTTCTGTCAATATACTTGGTCCTTCTCGAAACTTGTTTCAGTGTTACCAGATCTCGACGCTTCTGCTTTTGTGTTGCCAGATATTTTTCCCTTATTCCATACTTGCTTTATTCCATCACCAGTTTTTAGGTTAATAGTGCTTAATGATGATGAAGAAAACATTGTTTAATTTATATTAATATGTATCACTTCTTAAGAAAATTTTAATAAAGATATTTATTTTAATTATGAAAATATAATAGCATGTTTTTTTAGTTTTTGGAACCTAACCCCCCTTTTCGTACTAGTTCTTTGTTTCATATAACACGGATTCACATAACATGGCAATTTTTTGGAATATAACTCCCGTGTTATACGTGGGTTACCTGTAATCTAAAGATTTTTTAATATAATTGTTTAATGTTTTTAGTTTAGTAATTGTTTTTGTATCATTTTCAAAACACAAGTTTCAAAGATTTATCATAACATTTCATATCAAGAAAAACATTTTTATGAGATTTGTTTTATTTTTCTTAATATAGTAATTCATTAAATTGTAACATTATGAAAGATCTTATCTATTAAAAATAATAGTTATAAATCTTTAAAATTCTTAATTTTTTATTTTAAACAGAATGAAGTTTATGCTTAAAATTTCTTTAATTTTAAAAACCTTTTCTTTATAAAGAACTTTCAATTGCTTTTTTTTTTAAATTAGTGATTTCTTCCATTTAGTTATTATCTTCATAATTTAAATGGTAAACAACTGTTTAATAATACTGTAAAATAATTTTATACATTAACCAGAAACTAAATTACTATGATGATTTTAATATATAATAATAATAATACTTCATTTTTTGTTAGATATACCAAGAACTTTTCCTGATAACATTTATTTTAAAAATAGTCCTGATGGTAAAAGACAGCTCTTGTTTAATGTACTTGTTGCATTTGCACATCAAAATCAAAATGTTGGTTATTGTCAGGTAAGGAAATGTTTATTGTTAACATAAAATCCACTGATATAAAAATAAGATTTAACTATTTTAGTTAATAAATAATTTCTGTAATAAATATTTTATGTAAACAGTGTCATACAGTATGTAATGATCACCCTCTACAATAAAACAATGCCTGCCACAGTAAAATTAAATGAAATTAACACAACAAATTATGATCTAAAATATATTGATTTAATTATATTGATCTAAAACAAATTATTTAATAACTTCACTTATTATACATTGTTGTAATTAGACAGGTGGATCATTATATGCAATATTCAATAGATTTTAGGGAGTTACACTATTCCCTAAAATTTGTTGTTTATAAACAAAACTTACTCTAACACCTTGTAAATGTGCAGCCAAATTTATTAACTTCTAACGTTTTTGGTAATGTTAAATGACCTTTATCAAGAAAAAACTTTCAAATTCGAACACTTAGTATATTTGCATAAACAAATAAGCTTTTCAAACATTTTTGAACGATATTCTATTGAAAATTAGTTGTGCCATCTTTATCAATAGCTAATATTAAAACATGAAGATAAAATAAAAACATAAAAATAAAATAAAATCGGGACCATAAAGAGAAAGTAACTACAAACATTAAAAAGAAATTAAGATGCCTGAAATATAACATATAATATAACAAGTGATGTAAAAAACATTTGAGCTGTCTGTTACTTAAAAATGCATTTTCTGCTGTATCCGTTTCTTCTGTTTATTAGGGTTTATATCAGCTTGAACACCATGCTGCCAACACTTTAGTTGATTCTCGAAAGTTGATGGAGAGACCTTTTGGTTGGCTTTACATATCTGCCATGCTTCCACGTAATGACAGTGCTTAATGTCCCGAACTACTTGTATTAGTCTTGCTTGTTCCCATTCGGCTTTGACTTCTTGGGGGTTGGCTAAAACGTAAGTGGCCAGTGCTGTGCACGGTTGTTCACTTCTTACATTTTTTTGGTGTTCTGCTATCCTATCCTTGATAGATCTTCCAGTGGCTCCGATATACATTAATTTATTTTGTCACTGTTTGTCTATAATGGGGATTTTATAAACTCCAGGAAGTATGTTCCTGTTGGCCTCGTCTTTATCTGATCTTAGTAGTTGGTAAATGGTAGGGTTCCTTTTATATATGATTCTTTTGTTCATGGCTTTTCCGATGCATCTAACGATATTATTCAGCGATGCTCTATATTCCATCGTAGTAAACCCCTTGGTATTATGTACTTTTCTTCTCTTGCAGCATTGGCTGGTAATAGCCTTAATATTGACCTTGTATGTTTTGGCTAGCTTATTTATATATATATATATATATATATATATAAATA